CACGAAACGCGGTTGAACATGAACGTGGTCCGTGTCCCCCCCCCTCACGGCCGAGGCACCTCACGCTGACTCTTGCTGGGGGCTGCGGGGGTCCGGGTGCCGACCCGCCCGGAGGGCCGGAGCGCGGGGGGGACATCCCGCTCCCGAAACGGCGCTGATAACAGCTCCTCGTGCCCTAGCGAAACCTCCGATCGAAAGGCCGACAGGACGGAATTCCTGGGAAATAAAGCTAAGCCGAGTCCGCCGAGAGCACGGATTTCCAGGGGGGTGGCCGGGGATGCCGGCTCGTGACAGATTTTAGGCTTTAGTAAAAATAAACGGGCCGTGGAGGTGGGGAGGGTGAGTTTGCACACTGTGAGGGTTTAGGCGCGCTAAGAGGTACAATACGGTGTGTGCGTATGTCTCTATACACCTCTGTGTGTGTGTGTGTGTATCCACGTATACGTACGTACCCAAATTCCCGCCTCGGATGGGTCTGAAGAACAGCTTGGGGGATCGGAGGAGGTGTACCTCCGAGGTGACCTGAGAGTAAACTGCTTGCCCTTCCTTCACGTAAACCACACCGATCTCCCTTCTGAAAACTGGGAATCCGGGAACTGGATCTCCACAAAAACCACTGGATATTTTTCTCTGGGAAACGGTCGCGGGGCTGATCTGAGTACGATCCCGGCACAGACACAGATAGGGAGTACAAAGAATAAAGGCCGCTCGAGAGACGCGAGGTGGTTTGGAGTGATCCGGTCTCATTGCTCTTTTTTTTCTTCTTCTCTCCACCCCCCTCCCTGTTTCCTCTACCAGCTCGTGAACACGTTCTTTAGTTTCCTGAGGCGTAAAACAGATTTCTTCACCGGTGGAGAAGACGGAGTAGCAGAGAAGGTAAAAAAAAAAAACCCACACCAAACCCAAATACTCGAGCTTTTATGTCTTCTAACTTCCGTGCCACCCATGTCTGCGCCACGCTCAGGCTTCCCCGCCTGAACAACTCAAAGCGTTGCGGTGCGCTCGGGGACTAGCGGCCCGTGATGCTGATGAAATGCATCACTGAAACAAGGCAATAACGAGCTGCCCCTGTCTGAGGCGAGGCACGCAGGATTGCTTGTTCGAGTGGTACCGACGATGCGGGGTTGTTGGTTTTTTGGGTTTGTTTTTTTTTTTTCGCTCTGGCCAAAGGCCTGTTTGGAAAGCAAATCTGCCAGACGCGCTGCCTTAACAGTGACAGACACCGCGGTGTTGATAACCCCGGGTTACCTTGTTTGTTCATCTCAGAAAAAGCGCAAAGTCCGCATCTCCGCGCATGCGGCTGCACCTTTGTCTCGGGGCTGCGGTACCTGTACGGAGCGAGCGTGCTGGGGAGCAAGCTTGGGGGTCCGGGCGGCCTCGCTGGCGGCCTGAGCATCTCCTATCCAGCAGGTATTCCTCGCCCAGCTCGAGAGCTGCAAAACTTAAAATTGTTTCACCGCAGGGAAATAAGAACCAGAGCGTTCAACCGTGAACTGGAGGTTTCTTGTTTGTGCTTAGCGGTATAGCAGCTGTTCCCCTTCCTGGGCTACTGGAACTCCACCAGCCAAGCGGGCGCTGCTGCCACGTTGAATGTGTTGGGGCAGGCGTTAATCGCTAACGCAGCGTGTAACGTGCGCTGTCTAGTCTCTAAAGCGGCAAAGCTAGGGCAGGTGAGGGGATGGCAAAGAGGATGGTTTCAAAGTAAGAAAGGTGAAGCCTGCTGCTGTTTTTCTTAGACTGGAGAGCAAATCCCCCCCCAAATTCCTGGGGACTGCGTGCTCCCGGGGAGCGAAAGCCTGAGTGGCGTTTCAGAGGTGAGCACTGGTTGGTGCTTTTGGAGGTCCTGGCTACTGTTGTTGGCAACTCCATAGCAAATCCGTGGCTGTGCCTGGGCAAGAAAAGTGCTCGTGTCCTTGGGTGGTATCTGTTAAAATGCTTCCGGCTCAATGCAGAGTCCCTGACACCACGGTAACCACAACAAAAATTGAAGGAGCTGCTTCCCCAGCCCTGCTCGCCCTTTGGCATCAGAGAGAAAGAGGAGAGGGTGGGAAAGCCGTCGTCTTTTATGGGGTGCCGTTTGAGAAGCCCTTGTGGTGTAGAGTGAGGGGGGGTGTGGCGGCAGGTTGAGAGGAGTGCGGTGTGCGCGCGCTGACGAGGTCGGGCAGTGCAAATATAGTTTGCTCGCTGTGGATCATCGTGCGGTTAGGAACGGAGGCTGGGAGATGCACGTCTTGAATTCTGTATCCTAGGAGACAACCGGACTCGCGTTGTGTAAATAAATCTTGCTTTCCCCTTTAAAGCAAAGCAGAAATACCTGGTGGTTGGTTACAAAGCTACAAGGCGAGGGCATTCTGAGTTGCTCTGGAAAGATGCTGAATCCCCCCGGAAGTTTCTGGGATATATATAAACCGGTACCTGAACCCCCCCCCCGTCTGAGACGTCTCTCCACTCGGATTCCTTTTCTCAGATGCTGTTTGTTGTCCGGAGCAGACTTCGGTTCTCATACGTGCTGCTCTGCACAGCGCCGCTGGCGTTATCGACCACGGGGCAATTGCTCTGGCTTCCTGCCTGTGTACGCAGCTTTCCCTCTGAGCAGCACAGCCGTTTGCATCAGAGACCTTGAGATTTTGCTTTTCATAGTCACAATGAATTGGGAGTGAGGTTTGAAGCAAAGATTTATGTAGGAACTTGCCCCTGAGTGTAAAACACCGAGCTTTTTCAAACGTTTCTCCTCTTTGCCCCTGAGTGTAAAACACCGAGCTTTTCAAACGTTTCTCCTCTAAAGCATGACACTGAATACTCCGTCTGGCGCCCGGGGAAAAGCCCAGTCGCGGGAAAGGTCAGAAGTAGGTACAAAAACTCGGGTCCAGGGTCTCCGTTCTCCCAGCTGTCCTCGATGTACGGAGGGTTGGGCATCTGCTCATCCTCCTGGATTTGCACAAAGGTCAAAACAAATGGAGAATCTTTAGTTTTCTGTTAT